GAATGGACGGAGGAAATCTACTATTGGATGCAGTGGTTATGAATGAAGTCTGTTCAACTAACGGCAATGCATAGACCCATAGTTTGGAGCTACATCTATCGAGTGGCGAATGAGCTCATGCGGAGCCACCGGCAACCATGCACCAACACGCTGCTACCTTGCAGTCCTCACCTGATTGTGCAAAAGCTGATGTGCCCTCAAAGAAAAGCTGAGTGACGTTGGGGATGTGTCTCGTGCCATACTGCTGTGAAAATTCATGACCATATTGCCTAAATATTCTTATGGAACCGGCTAGTTTTATCCCAGGAGGCAGCCACAATAAGGTAGTAGTAAATGTAGCGGGGTTTCAATAATGAACTAAACTATGATAGCATGCTTCAGCAGTTAGATCAATTTCATCTTATGAGGGGTTTGAACCAAATTGTCTTCACAGCTTTTTTCAATGCTGTCACGCCAGCCCGACTAGTAATGTTGATATCCTGTATGGGCCATTGGACGTATGATAATCAACAGTGTATCGCCTGTATGATATCACAGTCAGACGCTTGTTGCACATAGTCTTCCTCGATTCTAACTATCTTTCAGGACATATAGCGGTTGGAAAAAAGTAGGAGACTGTCTACAATGCAGTACCCAGCACGAAAACCCGGAAATTTGAAAAGTAAAATGTTTCGCACGACAAGGAGTGGGGCAAGGCAGCGTCGCATTATGGCTTTATGGTTTTCATGTATATGCTCCTACCTTTGATATGATGCTCAAACTCTTCTAGCTATCCACTATAGTTTCTGATAGACGCAAAATATGATATCAGTTGTGCTGCGTGTTTTGAAAGGGGGACGTGGTTGACCGAATTTTGTATCAGTGAGGCTAACGATAATGAGTTTATGCTCTGCTACGTTTATTATTTCCAGTTCCGATACCCAATGGGACGTGTCGGTTGAAGATCAGCCGGCTCCAATCGACTCCAGCCCCCCGAAAAGACAACCTAATACTTATCCTGTTAGTCCGCAATTGATCACTTCCAGCGATGACGAATGTACCGAACTCCAGTTAAACGGTTCACCTGAGTGAAATGCCAGAACTGTTTATTTCTCTCGGATTCTCTACTCTACATCGCATTTGTTTTGTATTAAATTCCCAACTCGAATTTCGTTTTTGTTTTGTGATCGGCGAGCTTGTTTTACATCCATGATAAAATAGTGACTAAAGGTTGTTTATTATCCACCAAGGTTATGATTAGAGGTGTTATGAAAAGATATTTCACGGTCTGCGAAGATTTTTCGGCTTGTGCGCTCGTAATTGAATAGACTTGATCAGCATTATCTGTTCCGCCAGTTCGGTTTGTATTGCAAAACCACCACCAATTCGTGGGTTTGAGTCATCTTATCTCATCGATTGAAGCTGAAACAATCGTCCCTTAATATTTTATGCATTACTTAATAACCGGAAATTCACCAATCGCTGTGCTACTCTCAATGTGAGCAAAGTAAAACGGAAGAAAGAACTGGGAACAGCAATGGGCTTGTTCGAAGAAGGAGTAAAGCTACGGGTAAAAAACGAATACACAGCCCAACCGTGTACGAAAGCCTACGCGAAAAAGTGGTTCCTACCTATCGGAGTTTCGTTATGACAACCCGTTTCAGCCAAGATTGCTTAACACGTGGCGTCTATCTGGACGCTACTAGCTTGCAAGTACATACGTACTCAAATGGACATTTACTGTATGTCTAGCAAACGGTGGAGTCGCACTCCTCCCAGGGAATAGAGTTCTTGACTTGGAATATGCCGATGACATCACCTTGCTGGGTGACGACACACAGGCAGTCCAAGAGGCTTTGAACCGCTTGGCGATCGAGGTATCTAGGTATGGTATATGCTTTGCACCTTCAAAGTGCAAAGTGCTGGTTCAAGACTGGAAGGAGCCTGTGCCTGCACTCACCCTCTGTGGTGATCAGCTAGAAGTAGTTGAGAACTTTAAGTACATCGGGAGCGTGATCGCAGCTGGTGGTGGTGTTGGGGACGAGGTCATATCACGAATAGCGAAAGCTAGAGTAGCTTTC